ATGATACTTCGCAGTTGTTGTTTTATAGTCGCCCTCTTGCCACTCTTCTAAATGGTAATTTTTTATAGCATAAATTTTTCCTTCCAAGAGATTCTTTTTGATATCTCTATCATTTTGTTTTATAGTTCCTTGAATCCGATCTCCCTACAAACACATCAGATACATAGGGTTATCCAAAAGTATTTAAATTTCATATGTAACATATCAAATAAAAAATAGCAATTTTGTGAAACTTTATGTACCATGAACAATCTTTCGTATAGATTCTTATATATGAACAATAGCAATATTTAAATGACAATCTTTCATTTGATAACAATAGCAATATTTAAACAGCAATTTTGTAAAACTTTATGTACCATAAAAAATAGCAATATTTAAATGACAATTTTATTGAAACTAAGGTGCGTGAATGATAGATGAACTCAACAATATCACATAAAATTTTGTACGACACACTATCAACATATCAAATAAAACAAAAAAAAAGGGAAAATTGTTCATAAACGCACCTTTGAATCATGAAAGATGCACTCAATAAAGTGAATCACATTTCCTCCATGAGTTGTAACCCTTTCGTACATCCTAATTAGACGAAGTTTAAGCGCCCGTTGTGGCAATGCGTCCGTCAATTTTTTGATCGTCACAAAAAGGGTAGGCATTTTGTTTAAACTTTATTCGTTGAGTACGTATGAAATATATTTTTATGCGATCATAGTGTAAATCTTATTCAAGATTTATATAATCACATCACAATAAAGATGGTAATATGTATATTAATTAATAAGTAAATTATAATTTAAGTAAAGATGGTTATCAAATCTTTGATAATCTCAAAATATTATTGAAACTTGTTGTAGATCGTTTTCTCCCCATCCCCTCACTCAGGTATAGCTACTTCCTTTCCTCGCTTTACTTACGACGTTTCCCGACGAGACTGCTTAGATCCAACTTTCTTTTGTTCCGTTCCCAAAATTCGAACAAGATTTTGTACCGAGTCAAGAAGAATGAAATATCCTCAAAACTCTCCATTGATACGACATGCTATTTTTTCCTTTTATTCCTTTTCAGGATCAGTCGCGGTCTTTCAAACTTTACCAACGGTATGGACGAATTCCTCACTTCATCCAAATGTATAAAAGATTCTAGCCGCACTTAAAAGCCGAGTACTCTGCCGTTGAGTTAGCAACCCGAAGAAAATAGAGATTAAACAAAACTTCCACGAAAGAGGGTATTGCCATAACATTCAATTATACCACCGTTGTCAGCTTTGAGCTGTCCGTTATTTGGAGGAAGCTATATATTAATGTCCTAATCCTTTTATTTTATATAGAACTGTTGCACTTTATATCTCTTCAGTCATTATTTATAAGAGATGGTCTCTGGTTCATTAATATGGGAAGCTTCTTCTGTATGCTGTTTAGGGTACCTGAGACAGATGAGATGAGATCTAGATTCCCCTATATCATTTTATACCATATACTTGGAAATAAAACATCTACACAATATAATTCATTTTATGGAAGATTTTCTTGTGTAATAAAATAGAATAGAATCTCAATAGCACTCGTGAATCTCTAACATACTTAGTTTGTTGATTGGTTTTAACTTTATTATGCCAAACTATGATTTCATATAATCTTTGTTTAATTAATCAAAATTTTCCTAAATTTGTCATGAAAAAACGTAAAATATCTTTACTTCCCATGTGAACATTAAATATTCCCAATAAATCATCTACAATCTTTACCTACAATTAGTATTCCAATTTTAGCCGAAAAAATTTGAGCGGGAAAACTTCATCTATCTTTGGCAAAATGGT